AATTTAAAAAAAAACAGACTTAACTATAGAGGATAAACAGATGGTTGGTGACCAGAGGGGAGGGGGGTGTGGGGAGGAGGGTGGGGGGGATGGGTGAAATAGGTGAAGGGGATTAAAAGCACACTCATCATGATGAGCATTGAGGAATGTATAAAACTGTGGAATCACAATATTGTACACCTGAATGTATGTATGGTAACATACTGGAATTAAAATTAAAAACTTTTTTTTAAAGTGGATATAAATCACACTTTAGATTACTGTAGCCTCATTTTAACTGCTTTTCGAAGATTGTAAAAGACATGGTAAAAAAAAGTGTGAAAATCATGCTCAGGAAGAATACTCCAGTCCTTGCTTTTTTTTTCTTTTTTATTGATGTATAATTTATATGTAATAAATTATATGCATTAAAAGTGTGTAATTTGGAGCACCTGGGTGGCTCAGTTGGTTGAGCGGCCAACTTCAGCTCAGGTCATGATCTCACAGCTCGAAGGCTCATGAGTTCAAGCCCCGCATCAAGGTCTTTGCTGACAGCTCAGAGCCTGGAGCCTGTTTCAGATTCTGTGTCTCCCTCTCTCTCTGTCCCTGCCCTGCTCACACTCTGTCTCTGTCTCTCTCAAAAACAAATAAACATTTTTTAAAAAGTGTGTAATTTGATAAGTGTATATACACGCACATGAAGTCACTGCCATAATCAAGATTAGAAATATTTCCATGACGCCTACAAGATTCCTTCTATCTCTTGGTAATTTCTTCCAGCGCTTAACACCCCACCCCCATCTCCAAGTAACAACTGATCTGGTTTTGTCACTATTAATCACTCTGTATTTCCCAGAATTTCATAAACATTGAGTCATACAGCATATATTCTATATCGCCTGGCTTCTTTCTCCCAGCATAACTATTTTGAGATTCACCATGTGGTTGCATTTATCAACCATCTATTCCTTTTTATTGTTAAAGTGTTCCACTGTGTTGATACACCACAACTGACTTATCTGTTCACCAGTTTACGTACATTTGAGTTGTTTCCAGTATAGGCGATTACAAATGAAACTATGAGCTTTTGTGCACACGTCTTTGTAAGGGCATGTACTTTGACTTCTTGGAGGTAAACAGTGAAGGGAAGAATGACAAGGTCATGTGGTAGGTGTATGTTTAATGTTTTATGAAACTCCCAAACTTTTCTGAATTGTTTATAATTTTATACACCCTTAACAACACTTGGCATGGTCAATTTTTGTTTTTTCGTTTTTGGGAGGAGGGTGATTTAAGACATTCCAAAAGGCATGTAATGGTATTCCATTTCAGTTTCAATTTGCATTTCCCTAATGACAGATGACATTGAGCATCTTCTCACATATTTATTTACCATCTGTATACCTTCTTTGGTGAAATATCTACTCGGATCTTTTCCCCATTTTTTAATTAGGTTGTTTTCTTATTACTGATTGAGTTTTGAGAGTTCATTATACAACCTGGATACAAGTCATTGACTGGATATGTGATTTGCAAACATTTACTCCAAGTCTATAGTTTGTCTTTTTGTTAACAGTGTCTTTCACGAAGCAAAAGTTTTCAGGGCACCTGGGTGACACAGTTAGTTAAGCAACCGACTCTTGGTTTTAGCTCAGGTCACGATCTTGCAGTTCATGAGTTAGAGCCCCGCGTTGGGCTCTGCACTGACAGCACAGAGCCTACGTGAGATTCTGTGTCTCCCTCTCTCTCTGCCCCTCCCCCACTCATCCCCCCCCCAAAATAAATAAACTTAAAAAATTTTTTCATTATAATGAAGTCCAATTTATTAATTTTCAGATAGGGGTCAACTTCTGGCCAGAATCAGAAGTCAAGAGCTTTATTTTTGAATGCCATTTTTGCTC